ACCATAGACCCAAGGTATACCCAGGGTCTCTTCGAACCAACACCTTCTAACAGAGCCCACCAGCGGCCGAGCGGTAAAGTCGTTGAACACTGGTAGTTCGGTCCGAGGTTCGAAACCTTGGAACGGGCTCGCTGCATGGGTGTTTTCGTGGTTTTCCCCATGTATAACGTGTATACGAGCCAGTTTCCCTTGGAAAGTCCTTCACGAAGGCATCCCTTCCCGTAGGCAGATAGCCCTAGTGTGCTTTGCTATAATTAAATACACCACACCACCTCCTAATAAAAGAGTTGTTAGGAAGTGTTGTTCGAACTCCAGAGTATGCAGCGTCTTAACCAATTGGCCACTGGTGAAGCATGGCTCCCACAGCTTAGATCATCGTAGTTTTCTCTGTACTTTATTAGATTTAGATGAGTCTCAGAATAAACATTGTTTTTAAATTTCGTGCAAAGTTATCATTTCACAAAGAATTACTATATAAGCGCTTATCAAAAATTCGTCAAAATTTAAGACAGTACTTTTTTTTATAAAATGTTCTCCATATAGTGTTAAGACAAATATGAAAATATTCCTTCGTAAAAATAAGGATATATTAATCAGTGCTAAGCTTTGAGATTAAGGGTATCATCTTTTTTTTTTAATTTCTTTCTATTCGTAAGTGTAATGTTAGACAATTTTGTTTTCATGGTAATAACAGTGTCATTTCTTCTATTAATTCCTTTTTTCAATTGTAGAAAAGAGAATATACATGATGGTAACTATGCAAAGTAAAGACTTGCATCACAGTATTTTCTCGTTAGGTACACAGAAATAAAACATCCATTTTAATCTTCGTCTTTAGGAAGGTATAGCTTTAAAGCTAGCTTAAAGTGATACTCCCTTTATATAATAAAATAAACTTCATTCACCAGAGAAAGAAACTGAAAAACATATTCAGAAGTTTTAGAATACTTTTCCGTTTCGCCGGCGCAAAACTCGCCAAGCAGACTTTGTTGGCGACAACATACAGTATACACATAAAAAATGTTAACGAATGTTAGTTCTAAGAATATTTATTTTGAAGACATAAACATTTTAATATGGTTTACAATTTTTTTAAATGCCAATAAATAAAGACAGTAAATTTGTAAAAAGACATTAATTTAAGAATTTACTATGCTTTCATTGTTCAACATCCTGATTCACCGGTTCGTATCACGTGACCCCAAGTTATCTCATCTCATCTAAAGAATGCTACAAAAATCTAATTCTCTCAGTAATTATCTACATTAATTTCAAGTTAAATCTTAATTTGGAATACAAGTTTAAAATGCAAAAATTATTTCAATTCGTTCGAATATCTTACTCAGAAATTATGTAAAACCGCAGTGCTTTACTTCGCTAATGCATTCTCATTAGAATTGATGAATTTAACATTGATTTTGCTTTTTCTATATTTTCGCTTTCGGGTGAGCAGTGTGATTGCATTCTAATTGACTTAAATACCACGAATCGTCTTAGAGCATAAAATTTAACTATCTACTAAAACTTCTATGTAATTGTATGCCAGTACTGAAAAAAAAACAATCACTCTGATAAGAAATAATTGTGACTTGTTTTAAAAATGAGGTGTGAAAGGTTACCAGCGAAGATATTTCGTTTGGCATCAGTTGTACCATTATTGGCGACATTATCGTTTGCAACGGCAAAACGGTAAAGTACCTTTTTTAGAGTCATTCGGTTATTTTAAAGCAAAAGACGTGAAAAGTGTGCATTGACTTCACCGGGACTCGAACCCTGTACCTCTAGAATGTGCGTAGAGTATGCTTCCGATTACAGCAAGAAGGCAAGCGGAAAGGAGGGAGAAAATACTTTATAAGTTTCTGAACTCATTTTTTAAATAAATATACATATAAAAAGCAAAACGTTGTATTAATTCAAAACGAAACTTGTATATTGTAAGGAATAAATTTTTGCATAATGGACCAACCATGCTTTCGTTAAGAAATGCTAAACCAGATCTCTGTATGTGTTTGAATAAATGTAATTAAAACTGAGTGACAAATTTTCCAGCATCAATTTTAACCTCGCCCGTTGTAATAATTACATATTCATTTTCGTCATCCTCATAAAACACCACCATGTATATCGATATTTGTTTTGACTAAAAGAAAAGGAGTGAAATTTTATTAGCTAGTAAAACTCAGTACATTTTATTTGTCTGGGCTAGATTCGAGCTTGTTGTTTCATAGACATAGTTGAAATTTTCAAAATAAGAATAACGTTTTGGAGTAAGCTGCTCATCGTAACTCCAGGGTCATTTCGAATTTTAGCGTGCAAAAGAAAGTCTCAAGGAAACACAATGAATTAGAGCAGTTTTTTTTTTTTTTTTTTTTTTTTTTTTCCGAGACAGGATGAAGAGTGATGTTTCTGTGCTCTAATTCTGGCGAACTTGACTAAGTACATACATCACAAGAGCATAAATCGTTGCTGTTTTTCTCTTCGCTTTAAAACGAGAAAGCAGTTCCAGAGGAGATCTTATTTTCAAGACCAGAGTTTGTGAAAACAAGCTAGGAAACGGAAAGAAGGAAACTATCTTTAAACAATCATGGTTAAGCGTTTTAAAAACATGCTTAAGATGATTGTAAATTAAAGAACTAACTTTTTTTTTTCTTTTATGAAAGATAGCTTATGTTCTTCGTTCCTTATTCAAGCATTTACATAAAGTACATTAAAATTAAAGTATAATGATAGAGATGTTTTAATGGTAATTTTCTGTGCGAATTCAGCATCGCTACTGGAAGAAAATAGACGTGTTTTGCCAGTATGGGTGCTAGATCTTGAGAAATCGAACAGCAATCGTTTTAATTCTGTTTATTAACAATAATATTAGAGAAAAATATGCTAAAATATTAGAAGTGAAGAATTTTCAATTTGGATAGGTGAGAACATACAGAAATCTCATTCTTCACAAATTTTGGTGAGGTGTGACATTTATACATATGACACAGTCTTGAATATTATTACGAAACGAATGGAGAAATGATGACTGTCTGCCTATAAGATCTATATTTGAAGCAATGTTTAAAACGCCTTTCTGTTTAAAAATGCTTATTTGCCTTGAAATTCTTTAATTTTTGTCACTGGCATAATTTAGTGCCATTACAGCTAATTTCTAGAATTCAGTTGCATAATAAATCATGTGGAAGTTTGGATGTTAACTACCGTTATTTTTCTGTTCCTTAACTGCTAAAATTCCCAGCATTTAATAAATGCATAAAATATCCTTCTTCACAATATACCCAAGAAATAAAATTTGAAATAGTACATGAAACTTCATATAAAAATATATAATACGTGTTCTTTATCTGTAAACGCGATGTTCACATGGCTAGCCAAACGTTAAATCGTGCTTATTAACCTCTTGCGTGGAAACGAAAAGGTTCTCAGCCACGAGTTCCTCGTGACGATCCAACATGACTAGCTAATCAGCCAAAATATTTAAAGTAATTATAGAGCAGATACAGAATTTTCCCATTCAAAAGTGTGTACATAGAGCAGTCAGCTATCCTATTAAAAGAACTCTGATAGCATAATTACAAACAAATACCAACAGCATATAAAAACACGTTAACTCTTAGAAAAATGGGGTGCGTTTGCTTGAAAATAACCTAGTGTTAAAGTCACGAAAATTTATATCCCGTCGAATAATTAAATTTGGATACTAGAAATTAGCGTACTTTATAGAAACAGTGTAAGAAGTAGTATCACACAAGATACATTGATTTGACTTGGGGTGCAAACGAAATTAAAACATCTTTCGTTTTAATTTTGAACAAAACAGCTTGGACTTCTTTGACCTCGTCATCTTTAACCACCTTGTTTGGCATATTTCTCACTCTTTGAGCTTGTTGTTCTTTTCTTATCAAGATGGTTCTATGGGGTAAACATTTTCAGACAGTTCAAGTTATTTGAAACGATGTGACGTCCAGTTTATTATAGATGTCAAAAGATGCATTATACTTATGCTTCCAGCAAATGAGTGTTCTGATGAATATTACACTAAAGGTGATTAAAATAACTTTTTAGATTTCAGATCGAAACACTTTGCAAACATTTTCCTTGAACTTTCTGAACATAGGACTATATCGTAAGAAAATATTTTCATATTGATTTAATATATTGTTTGCCACAAATATAGTTGAAATTCTTCTCATTAGATACGAATATGCTTCAAGAATATCTTTTATAGTCTTCTATCACAAAACACTTTACGTTTAACTTAACGTTTGGCTAGCCTTGAAATAATTACCAGAGAAAAATGAAACCAGAAAAATCTTATACGACATCTAGTGCTTATTATACAAAAATAATAATTTCAAAATAAGTTATTACCATTAAACATACAAAACAATATTAATTGTCTTATTAACATAGAAGGTCTTATCTAATGTTGATACAAATATTTCATAGAACTTAAATCTTAAATATATTTAGTTTTTTAATGCGCAACTTCTTCATATTTAATAAATTTGAATCGGTAATATCTATTTTCTTTAGCCTGAATCATTCGCATTGAAATTTCCTCTTAAGCTAAACTGAAAGTCTTCCAAATACCTTCGTCTCGTACCTTTTCAAACTGCACAGTTTCAGACTTCAATTAGTCACACAAATTGCGAAGTTAAGGGGTTTCCTTCCTGAACTTGTACGTTTAGTTACTTTTTTTTTTTCGCTTTTTGAAGCGGGAGTGTTGCCAAAAACAGTGTCGCAATGTATGATGAACTCCTCTTCAAGGGGACAAACTGTGAATATCTAGAAACAAAAGCTAAATCTAACCCCATCTGCTATATTTAAACAAAAGGCGGCGGTATACAATATGAGAAGAAAAAAACTACTGCTTCCCTTAATTCTAATTTTAATCTTCCTTTTGCTTTTCCTTCACCAGACAACGCCTTTTTTATGTTTATTCTTTGCAAACTTTTTTTATTTTCTTCTCGTTGAACATTTATTCTCTTTCAGAAACAAAGAAATATTTTTCAGTCATTTCAATTTATAGCAATCCTTCTAGCCAAGTCTGTTGTTATGCTCAATGTTTAGTGACAGCTAACTGAGCATTTAATTATTTTTTTTTACTCCTCGATAGTAAATAAAGCTTACGTAACTGAAATTTTCTTTATTATATACTTGAAGATGAGCTGAAACAAGGCGATTTTTAAGTGTCTGTATCGGGTAAAGTAACTGATAAAATGTTTCTTGCTGTTGTAAAATGCTTGTGTGGATGAATTGCATAACTCATAAGCAGAATAAAAAAATATTTGATTAAAACCCTATTGTTTGTGAAATAATTTATTTCTAAAGTCATATATATTGCCGTCAGCAACTGACATTTTTAAGCATCGTCTTCAAAACTGCTGATGAAAGGCACTTCTATCGTCATGATTCAAAGCTTCAGGTGACCTGCAAGAGAGAGGAAAAAAAGAAAGACACAACAGAAAATAAGCATAGTTTGTAACTTCTTCATACAAATAAAAGTTAAAAGACAGTTTAGATAACAAATAATAAAAGTGCACATTTGCCAACCACATAAAGTTATGCCTAACGGAGAGAAATTTGATAATTTTGTTACTTCATTTTGAGTTTATAAGAGAAGTTTTGATGGTCATTGCCTGTATCTAATTATAGATTTTGATCACATATTTCCAACACTTTATGAAGAACAATTAATGTTATTACGATCATTGCTAAGAAGTAAAATGGAAGTTTGGAAACTTCCATCATTGTTTCTAAATATTAGAAAAGAATAGTTTAATTCATATTACCAAAAATGAAATTAAATGGAAATTCCTCCCTACTACTAAAATTAGTAGATTTAGTAAAAGGTAATCCTTTTTTTTTTTTTTTTACAAATGGCGGGGACTTGCCTATAACGACATTGGCCACTAACAAGGCCAGAAGCGATGACCATTTTATTATGGAGGCCCCTAATAGGCGGTCACCGTTACCTCCTATGAAGGGACAGACAATTTTTACATCCATGCCTTCTCCGGGATTCGAACCCGAGCCCGTTGGTATCGCAGTCAGGCGACCCTAACCATTATACCGTTTGGGCGGCATAATTGGTAATCTTAAGAGCTCTTTACTCTATTACATCACATTCCTGTTTCAAGGATAAAATGAGTTCATCAAAATGTGTGTAGTGCAAATTTTACTCTGCCTTTACATGAAATACGTATCCCTATTTATTTTTTATTGGCAAAGTAAATATACACTAAATGAGAAAAATGTAGGGAGAATATTTTAATTTTCATTAGACGTTTCTTTCTCGAAATGGCCAGACACTTGTTTGTTTAAGTATTTGCAGGGTTTTAGGTTCCTATCCACGCCACGATAACCCTATCTAGCCAACCTATTCGCGGGAATTCGACCTTAGGTCGAGTTACCAGTTTTCAGTCTTTACTGCTCGGCCAGTGATGTGCTAGCCATTTGTCTGGAGCATTTGAGCGGTTAGTTTACTATCTGATCATCGAAGAGCATAGCCCAGAGTACAATCACAAGCATAGGCCAATAGCATTCGCAAAATATTTTACGTGTTACTATCACTTTGTCTTTTTTTTTTTTTTAACAAACGATTAATTTGTTCTACATCTTATTGTTCTTATTTCTGTTCAAAGAAAAGAGTGGATTCAATTCTGTAATTTAAATACAGTCAGTGTTCCAGTTCGGAGAAGCAATTTTAAGTAATTCATTTCAGCGAAAGATTAAAAAAAATTATTAATTATCAAGCAGCATTAGATTCTAATTCAGAAGTCAAACAACAAAAATCAGCGTTATACCTACAAAATTTTCACAGGACTAGTTTCGATGGTTTTACCGAACCATCATCTTCAGCTGCAAAACCGCAAATGAACAAGATAGGAAATAATGATTAGATAAGATAAGAAAGCCTGGACAAGAATAAGCAAGTGGCGCCATCTGTTGGCGAAACCAGAACTAAAACATAATTTCTCTAAAAGCCGAAGGCAAATTTGGATTGGAATTAGGATCGTTAACTAGAACAGAAAGATTTTATGAATGTGAAATGCCTCTAGAAAATCCAGTTCTCCAATGGAAGATGTTTTTTGAATAATTTTGGCAGCAGAAAATTGAAAGTGTGATTTTCGGACCAACATGTTGAGCAACAGAAGACTTCTGTGTTTTCTTTTTTTCTAACATATGCCTCATGTTCTTTGACGCGAAATTTTAAGGCTCTCTTAATTTGGCCAATGTAAATTAAACCACACTGGCAAGGAATCCTATAAATACCCCAGGAATTCATATCCGGAATGGGGGGTCCTTGAGTATAGAAGTTGGAATTTTATTGATGGGAGAATAAACAACCCGAAAGTTAAATTTCTGCAAAATATGTGCAACTTTATAGCTAATTGATGGAAAGAAGGGAATGACAACAGAATTTTTATAATCTCCTAAAATAAGAGTGTGGCTTTTAGTGTGTTGAGATGAGAATTTTTTAACTGCTTGATTAATAATGTTGGGTGAAAAGCCCTGTCAATTGCTTTTAATAATTTAGTTCTTCATCAGGGCTAGTTTGGAGGAGCAAACTTGAAGAGCACGGAAAACATAGGAATAAAATGAAGCTAACTTTTGTTTAGTCGGATGACATGATTTAAAGTGTGGTGGAAGGCAAACCGATGAAGGTTTACGGTAAACTGTAGTACTGAAGTTGGATGTGTTACGTGTGACCAGAATGTCGAGAAAACAGAAGAGAATTGCAAGTCTCAAGTTCAAAAGTGAACTGAATAGCAGGATCAATAGAATTATTGTTGAAAGAACTTTATTTAAATCATCTTTATTACCTTCAAACAGGGTAAAAGTATCGTCTACGTAGCGGAACCATGCCGGGAAGTTTAAGTTTCAAACAATTTTGATTCATAATAATGCATGTAGATATCAGCCAGGATGGGACTGAGGGGGCTTCCCATGGCTAATCCCTCAGTGTGCTTGTAATATTTATTTTGGAAAACAAAATGTGTTTGTTTCAAACAGAGTTGACTGAGAGAAATGAGCTCATCAATTTCGATGCAAGAGAAATGAAATTCGCTAAGTCTGGTTTCTAGACATCTTAATGCACCCTCCACTGGGACATTGGTGAATAATGATTTTACATCAAAGAAATGATTTTACATCAAAAGTAAATTACTAGGAGAAATGTTTTTAACCTTTTTTACAAACTCTATTGAATTTTTTATGGTGTAAATGTTATTGTCTAATAGAGTGGAAAATCTAGAAACTAAATATTTAGCTATTATAGCATATTAGCTATTATAAACTTAGCTATTATAATCATATATAAATATATAAATTTAGCTATTATAAACTAAATATTTAGCTATTATTATAAATATTAGCATTAGATTATTTTATGATAGTCAGAATACACCACAATGTGCCTTGAGTCTTTAAAAGAGTCGATCTAAAACTCCTTTTAACTTCACTGGAATAATGTAAAAATTTCAGATTTCGTTACTTTTTTTTAACTGAAAACTAAGTTTGGTTCATCTAATTAGTGCAAAGCACACGAGAGCTACTATTTACGTAAGGGAAGGGATGCCTTGGGTAATATCTAAGCGAAAACGGCTCGTATCCACATTACACATAGGAAAAAAACCACGGAAACCCCCGTGCAGCCAGCCCGTCTACCTGGAACTGAACCCAGGTCGATCTACCAGTGTACAGCGACTTTATCGCTCGGCCTCTGATAGACCGCTACGTCGTCCGGATAGTCTTCCCTGCCAGTACCATAAATCCATTGTTAGTAATACTCAAAACCAGGATGTTGTTGTCCAGTTTAGCCTCAACAATTAATTTGAAACATTCCTTTGTTTTGATTTAGTATTAACTGACTTCTCGATTTTCTCGAAAATCAGATTTCCTGCGAGGAAATGCGTTCAACAGGATGCCATCAAGGGAGTCCAGATATAGTTGGATAACTCAGGACAGTCAATTTTACTAGGGCTTCAAAGAGTGGATGTATGTCCGAAGAAATGCGTACAAATTGATGGTGTTTATTCCGAAAAGTACCGAACGACAAACATCTAAGGTTTCAAAGGAAACAACAGTAATTAAATATCTTAATTATTTCGGGGAAGAGAAAGGGATTATTTTACTCTCCACTCATTTGTGATACCTCGTTATTTTATTCTTGTTATAAGGTTGTTTCAGCTACGCATTCGAAATGCCTGCTAATTAAACTAACTCGCATTAAGCAAATTTTATTTAAATTCGAAATAATTAAATCACTTTGAGTACTGCTTTATGATCGAGTGCAAAGAGCACTTTTGATTTGGATTTCATATATTTCCGATTTCTGCTGGAAAATGATTAAATAATGTGAATTTATTTATGTACGGCAATATTAATGCCCTGAGGTTTTATTAAATGTATCTTCTGATGCATGAGGTTTTCGTGGTGTTTTAGTTTTGTTCATAGATAACATATGACTAACTGAGCGAATAACGATAATCTGTTAGTACTGATCTGCATTGTGATGCGAAATTTCTTATCATCATGTCTTAAACTTTTGCATTGATACTTACTCGGCCATAAACTATAATTCCGCTATTCTGTTTACTATCATCATCTTCCCTAGGTTTTCTTTCTTTTGACTTTAAAACATGTTTTGTTGGTAAGATATGCTTTGACAAGACTGACCATGTCTCCTTTTTGACATGCATTATTTATATTAACCATTGTTTTAAAATAATGCGTTTAACACGAGTATGGTTTCTTTTGCATTTAAGGGGCATGCACTTTACCTACAATATGTAATTTTGGAGAAAGACTTTCAACAATGCATTATTTCTATTTTGTAGAATGTTATTGAGTAAAAATTTTAATTCATTTGATCAATTTTTACATTAAAGTTGCCTCTTACATTTTACATTAAGCTATTTTAATGATAAATCGGTTTTGAAATCCTCAAAGAGTTACTCATTCCTAGAGCATTTCAGCGGAAAAGTAACATTTTTGTAGTCTTACATTATTATTTGAAAGAAAATACGTAATAATGTTATAATCGGTATTATCGTTATTGTCGCTACGTGCCGGGGTGTTGAGCTCAGTAATTTTTTATCATTCTTACTTAATCCCATGTAGATAACTTGCTTCTGGAATGAAGCCCAGATCGAATTGCTCACCTATAACGAAGCGGACAAGACATCTGAATCCTGGTAATTTAATCCGAGTTCAAGTCCAGGTGAATAGAGTAGAGTTCTCGTACTTCCCATGTGTAACGGGAACACAAGTCAGTTTCAATTAGAAAGTTTCCTTTTTATGGCATCTTTTCCTTTACGTAGTGGTTTTCTTGATTCTCTCCATATGGATGTGAATACAAGCCAGTTTAATTCAAAAAAGAAGGCATACTCCCCTTTAACAGAACGCCCTAGTGTGCTTTGCCATATTCAAATAATCTAACCTAACCTTTATATAGTTACACCTCGAGTGTTTGCCTTAATCAGTTAACTAACCAACAGAGTCAAGCTACTAATGTTCATTTGTTTTGTCCACTTAGCATCTGGTGGGCGGTCTTTTATTAATTTATTTATCTTACCTAATATGTTTATACATATATTATTATGACCTTAAATAATGCTTTTCTTATCCGTTTAGAGACTTATTTTCTCCTTCACAATTTTTCAAATGAGTTTTAGCAACCATGCGGTATAGCAACTAAATGCGGTAACCATAATGCAAAGAATAAACTTTTTCTCTTTCATACCGCTGTGAAATTCATGGAAATAATGCTATTCAATGGATAAGACAACTTCCAGTCAGTGAGGGAAAGATAATAGTAAAAACAACTTCTGCTTTAAAATAAATAATTTTATTATTTTATTGTACCTGTACATCGTCTTTATCAAGCTTGTATCATAAGATAAAAGTTATTTAACCAAATTATCTTCATTTTTTTACCTAAGCTCCAAATAATTTCTAATATGCAAGTTTGCATATATCTGTTAATTGGGCATTGAAATATGACATGTCACTGCTAATAAAAAAACAATTTTCATTCATTTTCCATAGAGTTTTCTTATAAAATCACAGAGTTTAAAAAGTGAGAATTCAACGAATTCCAAATATTATCTAAAATTCCTTTAAAACGCTACGCATATCTTTGGTATTTAAATCATACTTTAATCTACAATATATCATATGAAACTAGAAGAATATTCATACTTGAGTTCTAATTCATTTAAAATATCAGCTTTAAATGTATGTATGATATTTCCATTTTTAATAGGCATACTAAAATTAAGTGTACATATGTTTTAATTAAAGTAAGCTTCTCCGCCGCTTTACATCAACGAAAACACGCGCAGAACAATTTTGTCTAGAATCCCGCTGGGTCCTTATTGGGGCCCACACTTTTTAATACTTATGTGGACGATGTTCCATTGTACACCCAAAACTACACTAGCAATGTGTGGTAATGATACACTGATCCTTGCTTAAAGAGCATTTGTTAGTCTTATCCAACACTTCAGCGGCCGAGCGGTAAAGTCGCTGAACACTGGTAGTTCGGTCCGAGGTTCGAATCCCGCGAACGGGCTGGCTGCATGGGCGTTTTCGTGGTTTTCCGCATGTGTAACGTGTTATACGAGCCAGTTTCCCTTAGAAAGTCCTCCACGAAGGCATCACTCCCCTTAGGCAGATAGCCCTCGTGTGCTTTGCCATAATTAAATACACCACACCTTATCCAACACTTACAGGACTTCAGACCTAGCTAAATAAATGGAAGATCAGGAGAATGTCGAGAAGAGTCTAGCTATTCTACTTACTCGGAAAAGAAGATCGAGAAAAAACCGAAATTTTATAAAGACGCACTACCCTGGGCTAAGCAAGGGCCTTTATCTTAGGATGATCGTCACTAATTCCCTCACATGGTCCCCACATATGTATTCTATTATTCAGAAGTTTCGAGCGCATAAAGCTAAACTCTACTCCTTAATTGCTATTGACAACAAATTTCTCATCTATAAATCCCTTTTGCGGCCCATGTTATGTTATGCCTGTCCAGTCTGGGTCTATTCTAATCGCACAACAGAAAGCAGTTGCAAACTACCCAGAACAATGTTCTCCGGCAGATTTCTAACTCTCCCTAGTATATTCGGAATAATAATATCAAGGAAGAACTAAAAATTGTTCAACTGCGTACGCATTACTATCATCTTGAAAAAAGATTTCCTAAGAGGCAGAATAGTCTCAACAATCCGGCAATCCGGATTAATGATTATAACTATAACGATGACACGAACAAGAAACGGCTCTTGGCCATCTTAAATTCCAGAATTGTTATGGAAAAATAATATACTTGCATATTTGGTTATCGCTTTTGCATGTACCTTTATAATGCGTTTTGTATTTCTGTAAATGTATTATGTTCATTTTGTATTAAATGCTTTCTACTTACTACTGGCACCATGTGACTCCTACTAACTATAGGAACTTTCTATGTAAAACAGGTTCAACTCTTCTGCTTGATAACTAAATGAAAGAAAAAAATTAATAATTATCAAATAAATAAACATTGCATAATTTTTTTTTAAATTATATATCATATAAGTTAGTTTCTTTAATAATATTTCGAAACTTTTAACTTTATTCCATAGGGGAAAGGGCTTCTTGCTCAGGCACACTAGTGACTAATACCATTTTACCCTTCTTCTTAATTAGTAACTATTAATGTAGAACTTGTAGAGACATTAGAATTTTTTGGAAGCAGGAGACTTGAAAAATGAGCAATGCTCTTGTCGGGAATCGAACAACGGACCTCTTGAATACACGCCGAGCGTGCAGACCACTACACAGCGAAGGCGGGAGAAATACCTTATATACTTCCCCTTTTAAAGGGCAACTTGGGATTAGGGGACCCAATCGCCAAATCCTGGTGGTGAAAAATCATCATTCACCACCTTTTCTAGTTCGGGCGCCCCTGTAGAGACATTAGGATTTTTTGGAAACAGGAGACATAAAAATGAGCAATGCCCTGGCCGGAACTTGAAATACCGACCTTTCGAATACACGCTGAGCGTACAGACCACTACACCACGAAAGAACGCTAAGAAGGCGGGAGAAACATCTTATAAACTATAATACAAAATATAAGGTAACAGACGGATTTTAATTTTGGGACTGATTTTAATTGATTTTCTTCAACCATTGCAATTAAATTTTTGAACATTTCTGAATACTGTTCAATCGTTCACGAATTTTCATGAGTGAAAAAATAACTTAAACAGACTGCTCTCATTTCTTGCGCACAAAGGTTTAGTTATATTTGAGCTATGCTGTCACAATAGAAATGCCTCAACTTGCAGAGTAAGTTATTTGCCCCTCTCCAACTTTTAACCCTTAACTCTATCCTATCGAGAATCGAACGCAACACCTTCCCAAACAGATGTAGAATGCTGAAGAAATAGTACGTTTAAGATATTTAGCTTTAAGAAAAGTACTTAAGATTTTAGAGTAATTAATTTATTTTAAATCTGGCTAAAATATATTCAGTACCATTTCTTCCGTTGATAGGCGTCATTCTCTCTATTTCATATATTTTATTATAGCACACTGAAATTACTTAGGGAAAAAGCAAACTAAACAGAAGCAAGAAGGTCTGAATTTAATTCTTGCATGAAAACCAAAAGTCTGGGTATCATGTTAATTATACAACTTGCAATTCTATAGTTACTGCTTTATTACTAAAAAGAAATGCACGTATTAAAAATAATAAAAATAAAAATATTTATACCAAAACCTGCCCCCTCAGTTAAACCTACAGTCATTAAATTTCCTTTTCAATAATTTGTATCAGCTATATTTTGTGTCGTCATAATTATCGTCCTTATAACTTTAATGTAATCTTCTAAACATAATTTCAGCAATTCCCTTTCATATTGTGGTAAAAAATAAATTTGCAGCGACTACAACGTATTATTTAATTTCCTAGGGAAATAAAGCTATTGTAATGCAAATGAGTATCAGACGTTCACTTGAATAAAGGCCAGAGATTTTATCCGTCATCAGTGAAATCAAGGAATTTTGCATACCTGTTGCTTTTCTGTTCTTAAACTGGGTTTCTTAAACTGTGGGTCGCGGGACCTGCAGCAGGGGGTTGCCAAAAATTTTAGCAGTTTTGATATTTCTTTAACTTATTATAATAACTTTGCAATTGCCAAATATTTTACACAGTGTATCTGAAAATAGATAAAGATAAGACAATACAGACCCCCAAAACAAAAAGAAAACGTTTCGATGCATTCTTTTTATAATACTCGTATAAACGTTAATTTACCTTGCTTTGCACGTGACGCTGTCATCTCGTCTGTTACTTATTTAAAATTTTCACATTGTTCTAGGTTTTAAAATTAGAAATTAAAGTTAATTACTTAAAACTGCGATAGTATATTACAGTACAAGTGAAAAAAATTGACAGTTTCAATCACGCGTGTGTCAGATTTGCGCAATACTTAGTCCCACACAATTTTTGTAAATATTATGAAGTCCTGGGGGGTCGCGAAAAAATCTCAATGATAAAAGTGGGTCGCGACAGAAAAACGTTTAAGAAACCCTATTCTAAGGCAATAATTAGTCTACGATTGTTTAGGGTGGATTGTAATCTATTAAAGAGTACCCAGTCTTTAATCGGAACTAGATTTCACTGCTTATTCAGTAGGATTTCAAACCGCTTAACTGTCCGCTGCCAGGTAGTCTGGGTAGTCAGTAAAGCATTTTGGGAGAATCCCTTCGATATTCTTGCAAGATAATGCTAAATTTTCTATCATAAGAATAATCTTAAAACTTTTGTTAATTTATGGATGATGAAACAGTTAACTAAGCTCAAAGCTGAGGCTAGGCTTTTCCTTCCGCTCTCTTTGTCTCTTTACACTCTGCCGCCCACTCTAAAAATTTTGCTACCCCTAATTCTACCACCCGATAAGGCTGTATCGGTGCTTCTTGAAAGGGATTATGGAATTTAATTCAAATTTATCTGTAAACTATTGGAGAATAGTTACATAAAAATAAAAAAGTGTCACTGTAACAATAACGATGTGCCATCTTTCAACCAACGTATGAACATCTTCAGTTTGATGCTGAACATAGGAGGATCGAAAGATCTTGCTATAGTACTTCAATCTGAGAACGTTTTACCAAATTTTTTTTTTCTTTCTTTCGTTTTTTTTTTTTTTTTTTTTTTTTTCCTCCATTTAATCTTCACATACTTTTTTAGTCCAAAGGGGCTTTATCCCTGAAAGAGTATTGTTTTCGTTTTGCGATTCTGCGTTGAAAACTTTAAAAGGTTGTATCACTCTTCAAATCGTTGCCACCAAATACTATCGCCCTGCATTATATTTGAAAAAATTAAATAATAAAGAATCTGCACAAATGAATGTATGTTTCTCGCATTGCGATAAAACAACGGTTCCTAGAGCCATCCAATTTTGAATGGCGTAATCCTACTGCGAATATGGGCATCTGAAAGCTGAAATTTGTTTTATTATCGAGTACATATTTTGTAAACCTTCAACGACTTTTTGATTAACAAACTCAACGATTTAAAAGCAAGCAATGGCAATACTCAACGGGGGGGAACCTTTTTATGTCCAGTGTGCGGAACTGTGTATCGGAAATTCTAAAGATATGCTCATTTTAAAATTATTTTGCGACATTGCTGTTGAACTGAATTTTATGGTTTAAGTATAAAGAACATGACATTTAATAAGTAAAGGTAACACACAAAACGTTAAAAAAACGCCCCTTTGGATGTAATTTAAAGTCTGGAACCTTTCAGATTTTTTATTTTTTTAATTTTGCTTATTTTCCCTTAGCATAAGAGAATTATAGCCATCAGTTTGTGCATCAAAGAATAATGACATATTAGGTATATTGAAATATAGCTTCGTTACACATTCAAAGCATTGTTTTCAACGTTAGTAAATTTGTTCAAAAAACAAGTTAAATAATGACCCTGTTTCCGTAACATGGCATGGCATGCTCACTCGACTTGGATCCAGTGAAGCACATGTGGTGGCATACGTTTTTAAGGCTACGTAGACACATCCACAGCAATTTTCCTCAAAGATGACTTCAACGTACGTATTTTTATCAAAAAAGTGACTTTTTTTTAATATTTTTAGCAGAGTATATTAGTCGCACCCCGACGTAGTTTGCTGTCCAGAAAAGTAGATATTATTTTAGAACTTCGTTCATTTCCTAGTCATGAAACAAAGTACAATATTTCTCATTATTCTAATTGGTCAGCAATTCTGATTCCGAAGCATTAAATACCTTTCAATTTAGCCAAAAAAAACATTATTTTATTTATGAAAGAAGAGATAATGCGATTACTAGACTTTTCTTTATTGTTCTAAAATGGATCTATTTTTAATGTTTCGAAGTAGGTGTGCTTGTTCCTAACGTTTCAGACTCCTACCTAAACGATTTCTTTGTCTACTTGCATTAAGGGACGGAAAAATATTTGGGCTCAGCGCCAAAAAAAGAGCCAAAATATGAAAAGAAGAAGATATTTACGAACCGTAATACTTCATCGAATTATTCAAAAGAACACCATATAAAAAATAGAACATCTAAAATATATTTATATTATATTACATCATATCAATTATCAATATTCTGTTTTTATATACCCTTACGTTTACTGAATTTCTGTAGCTATAGCTCATTCAGTAAGCAATACAAATATAATTTTGTTTTCAGAAAAACCTCTTCAAATGTGAAAAAAAAAAGATTATTGAACGATCTCGGTAGCGTACTTAATATTTCTTTCGAAACAATTTGAAGTACTTAAGTCGAAGAGGATTTTTGAAGCTTCTAATTCTATAAAAATAGATATTACAGTTTATTCAACATTAAAATCCCTGTTTACATGTGATATTTTTGACAGATTGGAGAAAATGTAACAGTTGAACAAACAAGATATATAGCGAATTGGACACAAATTGATATGCATACAGGTTTCGACGTAAAATGCAAAATTTTACATTTTAACTGCCAATGAATGAAAGGTTGTCGCTACAGCGCATCTGATCTGCGCAACTGGCAGGATATTTAAGTGGAGAAATTACGGTTCCAGGTCTTAAATTCTTCACGAATTTCATTTCGTGTACTCTGGTAGACAGTAACTATGCCTCGCATACAGGTGCGCGAACGATATGCGCAGATGTCAGAATTTGAGAGAGGTCGTGTAGTCGGCCTCAAAGAAGCCGGTTGGTCTTATTGGCGAATAGCTCGGCATTTGAGCAGAAGCGATGCCACTATTAGACGATGTTGGCAGGAATGGGTGAACCATGGCCGCACACAGCGTCAAGAAGGAAGCGGTAGCGGTAGGCCTAGAGAAACGACAGAACGTGAAGACCGAGCAATCGTCAGAGCGGCACTCACAGCCCCAGATGCATCAATATCATCGATTCTACGTGCAACTAGTGCTTCAGTGACTGCAAGGACCATTCATAGACGGCTCACGGAAAGGG